TCTTATTTTTTTACTTACAGACAGGGCCTCCCTAAATTGCTGAGGCTGGCATTACAGGCATGTGCCACTGTGCCTGGCCCTCAGCTCACCTCTAGGTTGGAGTTACTCCTTAGTGCAAATATTAAGCACTCTCCAGAATGCATGGTGGGGTGCTGCTGTGTGCTGAAAATCTGATGACCCTGTCCGCATTCCCATCTTATCTTCACTATCCCCCAGCTGCCCTGTCAAACTCTGTTCCTGACAGATGAGGAGAAGCGTCTGCTGGGGCAGGAAGGGGTTTCTCTGCCCTCTCACCTGCCCCTCACCAAGGTAACACCCTCTTCCCTTTCCCAAAGGGCGTCTCAGTCCAGAGGATCCACTATGGCCTCTGAGAAGCCAGGATCCCAGGGAAAAGTTGGGCAGTTGAGGGAGGTTAAGGGCTCAGAATTGACACACCCCCGGCTACCAGGCAGAGGAGAGAATCCTCAAGAAGGTCAGGAGGAAAATCCGTAACAAGCAGTCTGCTCAGGACAGTCGGCGGCGGAAGAAAGAATACATAGATGGGCTGGAGAACAGGTACTTTGGGATCACATTTCTGAAGGAGGCTATGTCTTGTTCCCTTCCTCACCAAGGTAGGCAAGGTGAAGGACTCAGATTGCTGAGCCTTGTCCTGCTTCTCCCCACTCCCTAGGGTGGCAGCCTGTTCTGCACAGAACCAGGAGCTACAGAAGAAAGTCCAGGAGCTGGAGAGACATAACCTGTGAGTGAAAACACCATTTATGTGCCGGGGATGGGGAAGTGCCAAGCACCATTCTTGGGCCATGGTTTCCAGATGATGGTAGCTCCTCATTCCTCCTTTCCCAGCTCCTTGGTGGCTCAGCTCCGTCAGCTCCAGACGCTCATTGCTCAAACCTCAAACAAAGCTGCCCAGACAAGCACTTGTGTTCTGGTACCATCAGTCTGTCTCCCTCCCATCTCCCCCAGCCTCCATCATCTGTCTCCCCCCACACTTCCATCCTGATACCCGCCACTCCCTAGCTACATCAGTCTTCCCAACCCAGAAAACCCAGCTGCCCTCTGCTCCCTTCCTTGACTGTCCCCACAGCCCAAGTGTCTTGCTTTCTTCCAGATCCTTCTTTTTTCTTTGGTTCTCATCATCCTGCCCAGCTTCAGTCCCTTTCAGGGTCTACCAGAAGCGGGGCCTGAGGACTACCAGCCTCATGGAGGTGAGAAGCTCCCTGGTGAACAAGAGGGCTTTGCACACAATAGTCAAGAAGTGGGAGAGAGGTCCTGCCTGTTCTGTCTAGGGTGTCCCCCCCAAGAGAAATATTCTACTCTGTGCTTTTTCCTTCACCTCACAGTGGTTTCCAGAAATATCTTGACCCATGTGGATATGACAGAAAGTCAAGAGACTCCAGTGGAAGAGTCCAAAATGGGAGAGTCACTTAGAGCCCAGATTGCAAATACATCTACCAGAACACTGATAAAGAAGAGGGGCGTGGAGACTGGGTCTGGTGGGCATATCAGAACCGTGCTGCATGCAGATGAGATGTGAGCTGGAAAGTTCCTGGCCCACTCCCCTTTACAATAAGGAACCCAGGGTTCCCCTACAGCTCTGCTTCCCCCCTGGGCTTCCCACTCAGGTGCTCTTTTGTCTTAGGGGGTCTGAATCACCTCAGGACAACCTAGGAGACATCTGTATCCTGAGGCCCAGTTAGCCTGTGTGAAGAGAGTACCTCAAATACTTTTGTTATTATCTGTGATTTTATTTCTTCTTTGGGGATAGGGTTGAGGGAAACAAAGTTTTGACTAAGAAATAAATTTTCTAGTTAAAATTATATCCCAGAAGTTTTAAATAAGTAGTAAAAGGGGGGAAGGTAGGTACTTGGGAGATTGCCACCCCCTTTTCTCTCTGCTCCCATGATTTCCTGTCCCAAAACAAATTACTATAGGGAGAAAGAAACTAACTTACTCTTTTTTATTGTGCTTATTAATGACATGGAGAGGAAGATGGGGAGAAGGGGTTACCACCACAAGATTCCTAAGAACCAAAGGCGCAAATCAGTCCATTTCACTTTCTCTGAGATATGGTCTGTAAGACCCAGGATAAAAGGGTGGAATGTAGCTATATGGACTCAATTTGCTTCCGGACCTTTTCCAGAGCCTTTCTGTCCAGTTGTCGCTGACGGATGATGACAAGGCACGCGAAGACCAAAGCCACACCCACCACAGCCCCTTCAAATTTCCAGAATAAGTGTTGTTCCATCAGAGCTGAGCGGCAGCTGAGGATAGGAAGGAACAATTATTCCCAGGGAAGGCCAGACAACTTCTCCTTTCCATCTCCCTTCTACTTCAGCCCCATCAAGGAGGTAATAGCCAAAAGAAAAAGAGGAAAACAGAGTCAGCCTTATATAAAGTGTTTACATATCTGGTGAGATAACAAAAATAGCATTAGCTGATGTTATTGAAGAGAAAATATGGCCAATAACAGGGCTGAGAAGTAAAACCAGGACTTGGGTTTAAGCAATTTAGCTCCAAATTCCCTCTTTCCAACATGTCATGCTACCCAGGATGAAGTCACAGGGGGAAAGGAGATAATTAGTCTACAAGAAAAGAAAAAGCCCTTACCTTTTGAACTCATTTCTCTTAGAGGAGCTGCATGTAATTTTCTCAACATAACCTGTGGAACCACACTCAGGGATGGTTTTCTGCCAGGAGAAAAGGACCAAAGCATGTGTTAGGAAGAGCAGCAGGAGAAACAGAGAGGTTGCCATTCAAAAGGGCAAGTGCTCAAATCCCATGGCCAGAGCTGGCCAGAAAACAGAGCTAACAAAAACCTCTGATGTGGATGCTGAAGGCGGTGGTTGCATGATTAGAAATGTGTGTTGGAAAAAACACTTCAGGGGCAAGAAGAGCTCAAGTTCCAGCCCAGCCTAGCCTACTTAAACCTTGTCTCAAAATAATAAAAAAAGGTCTGGGGATGAGGCTAGATGATAGAGAGCTAGATGGTAGGATTGGGTTCAATCCCCAGTACAGCAAGACAAAATACAAAAGCAGAACAAAACCTGGTTATCAGCTGAACGCTGTTATTAACTTGGAAAGAGAGGAACATGTTTTCAGGGGGAAGACAAGTTCAGATTTGGACGTATACTGACACTGCAAGGAGAAAGAAAAGAGGATGCAAAGGCATGCTTAATGAGACTTGGGGGAAAACGGGGGAGGGGAGGGATGCTCACAGCCTGAAAACTGGAACACGGAGTACACTCTTCTGCGACCACGAACTCTTCTCCCAGCCAGCACGGCAAAGTCGAGGTGCTCACTAAAAGGGGAAAGAAATGCCGGCCCAGACCACTCAGAAAACGTTTGCCCCCGAAGCCCTACGCACCCAGATCCCAGGCCAGCGCTGGCCTCGTCGCGCGCGGTGCCACCCTTTTCCGTCCGAGCTCCGGGTGTGTAGGGAAGACACGCAAAACCACAGACCACGGGGGCGTGGGGTCGGACAGCCACCCACCTGACTGCTTCTCCTCCCGCACGGAAGCCTCTGCTCGGCTGTAGCGGGTGGGCGAAGGGGCAGAAATTAGAATCCGGAAAACAGGCTCCCGTGCCGCAGCGGTCCCCCTCCCCGGGCGGGGACGGCCCTCCTCCGGCCCTCCCTGGCCCCCGCCTCCTTACCAGAGCTCCACGGCGAAAGCGCAGAAGAGCCAGCACAGGGGGAGGCCCTGGGGGAGGCCGCGCCTCCCGGTGCCCGCAGGCATGGGCGGTCAGGGTCGCACCTGTCGGGACACGAGGACCTGCTAGTTGGGCCGCGAGCCTGTCGGAACGCAGAGGCGCTCGGGCGATTCCGGCTCAGGAAGGTGAAACGGCCCGTTGCCCATCAGGGCCGAAGCTCTGCCGGGACGGCCCCACGGTCGCGGCGGGAACAGCGCCTACGAATCCGCTGTCAAGGAAGCCGGGCCCCTCGCCGGGGCGTGCGGCGCGGGAGGAAGGCCGGCTGCGGCGGCCCGGCGCCGCTCACCTCTGCCCCCGCCCCGCGCGCGGCCATCCCGCCCGCGGAGGATGCTGGGGCGCCGCCCGCTGGGACCTGTAGTCCGCCGCGGGGGTGTTCGGGCGGCGCGGAGGGGCGGGTCTCACTGCGCCTGCGCGGCAGGACGCGGCCGATTGGCTGGGCCGTGAGGCCGGGCGGTCCCGGCAGTGCGGGAGCGGCGGGGCGGTGGCGGTGGCTGGCTCCGTGTGGTTTCTCGGCTGACCGCTTCCTGGGTCGTCGCCTTTTTCCCGTTCTCGGCTAGGTTAGCAGGGGGACAGTCCGTCGTCCTGCCGGGACTTTGGATCCTCGTTAGAACCCTGGGTTTCACCCTTAATCCCTAGCCTCTCCGACCCCCTCTCTGTCCCCTACGGCCCAGGGAGAAAGCCCGCGTGGCGGTCTGGGGTGGCGGCGAGGCTGCATTTCCCCTCCCCACGAGAGGGGAGCAGTCCAGGGGCACCGTGAGGGTGAGACTATGACTGCTGGGCTCGCGTTCTCTTCTACGCAGGTGGACCGTGTCACCCCCTCCGGTGTTCATTGCTAAACCACTTCGCAGAGCTTTTCCTCTGGGTGACTTCCTCAGCTGGTCTCCACTCTCCCTGGCGCCTACATAAGGGAATACTCACTCACCCGGTGCGAAGACCGAGTTCCCAGAAGTGCTGAGACTAGGTTCAGGAGCTTGTCTGTGTGACCTTAGGACAGTGGCTCTCAGTGTTCTGTGTGAAACGGAATGCTAATGTGCATTGCTGCTTTTTGATAGATGCTAATGAAAAGTATATGAAAACATTCTGAAAATGTTGCTTCACTTTTCCACCCCTCCTCCTTTCACCCAAAGTTGAGATTGTTCCTTGCCTGAGTTGGAACCCAGGGCCTCATGCCTGCTAAGCAATCTCCCTACTATTGAGCTGCCTCTGTCATATGTCATAACTTTTTTTTTAATTCAGTTTTTAGCTGCTTTTGATCCTCTGAAGGATTCAGTATTATCTTGTTTTGTGGGTAAGTGCAGAGAGCATAGGTGACTTTGTTAGGGGACAGACAGATGCAAGTGATGGGAGCATGAGGTTAAGGGAAAAGGGAAACTTAACCACCAAACTGACCCCCACATGCTTTCTTTTTCAAAAAGCAACTTACCTGTCGGCCTGCCTGGCTTAAGTGGACAGGCTATGTCACATTCCTCAGCAAACTACCTGTTTCCTGCTGAAGAAATGCAGGCCACAAATAATGTTAAGAGGAACCCACGTTACCCTGAAGAGGAAGACTTTTGTGACTCTTGACAGACCAGATCCTGAAACTCGGGGAGATAAGGGTAATTCCTCCTAACCATAAAATCTGTAAGAATCTATGGTTCACAATCCAATTAGAACCAGTCAGCTTGGGCCAAAGTGACACAGAGTTGTCATGGCAGTGGGGACTTGAAAATCTGAGGTATAACTGCTATCAGTCAAAAGTTAAGAGGTGGCCTGGGTGGGACTCTGGAAATTTCTCTGGGATCCGCAATAAAACAAGTGTAGGAGAGGCACACTGTCCCTCTCCTGAGAGGATCAGCTCTCTCCCTTGAGAGTGTCCTCTTCCCCTTTTTTTTTTATCCCTTTGTTAAACTCATCTCTGAGCAACATGTCTGAAACCTTTCTGACTTGATTGCAAGAATTCAGGCTTGAAGGGGGTCCTTTGCACTGCCTCAGTTTTCTGGAAGGCCCCAGCTCTCTAACAACTTGTCCAAGGTTATCAAGCTAGTAAATGGAAGACAAGAGGCTTGACTCCAAAATTTCAGCTCCCAGGCCAGAGATTAAGCATGCTTTCCATCCCCATGGAGTTAAACCTTTATATACTCAAAATTGCAGTGACAGAAGAGGGAAGGAAGAAGTACTGGGAAATGAAAAGGAGCAAATTATATTCCACGAATGTATGATTATGTCCAAGTGAACCTCAATATTATGTATAACTATAATGTACTAATAAAAACATTTAAAAAAGTGAGGGATTTGACCACACTCTGGGTTCCCACTTTACTGTCAGGTAACGTATTAGTTACTCTCCGAATTCAGCCCTGATTTGTTTCTTGGTTTCATACATAATGTGTGACTGCAGCGTCCCAGACACTGGGAACCATGTGAGTTTAGTTCTCTTAGATGCTCAATAGATAGACCAAGAAGTACTTAAATTCCATACAAACATGAATGCTGAATTCCTCCCCCCTCTTCTGAATTAAGAACAGCTTCCTCATGTTGAGACTGGAGGCTAAAGGGCTGCAAGTTCCCACTCTGATACCTAGGAAGCTGAAAGTTGAGATTGTTCCCTGCCTTGGCCTGTGCAGCATAGGTTAACTAAGTTACACATTTACACTGCCTGCCTTTTGTCTCACTTCCCAACCTCTCCTCCCCTGCCTATTATCCTTTAAAAGCTCAGATATGGGGATGTGACTCTGTGATAGAGCACTTGCCTGGCATGTTATAGGCCATGGGTTCAACTCTCAGCACCAATAAATAAATAAATAAACGCTCTGTTCACCTTTGGAGATTTTGAAGATGGAACTTTTGAAGCAATGTCTTCTACTTACAAAGA